CCCCTCAAGTGATTTCTTGATCTTCATTTGATCTTTAAACACTTCTTTGAGCGATAGTGGAGTAAAAATATAACTCTAATAATTCAAGTTAAGGGAATAGCGATTCCTAAAGTCATTATGAATGTGCCTTATCATACTGTTATGGTTGTCCACATAGAATGTGACTAGCGTGCATGGGTATAACATCATAGTAAACTTCATTGTAAAAGAAACTAAAAGAACCTAAAACTTGTTTGGTTATTTCCAACTCCTCACATTCATGTAACCACTGTAACTTGTAGGAATTACGATGTCTAGTGCATGTCAAACCTAATTTATCAACTAGTATAGTACTAGCAACAGGTATGGAAGATATTCTCTCTTTGGTCACTATTTTCTTATTTCACTTGCATATTCAAAGCTCTTCTAATGGTGGCTGTCAGAAGCCTTTGACATGGTTATGATCTAAAGGAAAAATAAGAATGAAGAAAAAGAAAAAGAACAGAGAAGAAGATGAAGAATATTGGAGAGAAAGACAAATAATTTTATTGATTGATTTTTGATATATTACAATTGATAGAATCAGCCTTTTATAGGCCAAAAGGAAAACATCTTTCTTGGCAGAATCGTCCTTGTCGTAATCGCACGACGATGAATGGCACAGTGTCTGCCACAGGATGAGAAAGGATGGTTGAGGCGTTAGCTGCGGCATTGATGAGCTGATCAAGATTGACAAATTCTAACCCTAGTTTTCTTATTGGTGTGAATTTCCTAACTTACCATTCTTTTTATTATACCCTAAATGTGTTCCTGACAATACTCTCCCCTTGTGCATCAACCTTGTCTGCAAGGTTAAATTGTAGAAATTTTTTCTTCAAGATTCTCTTCCGTAACAATTTCCTCCATAGCCATTACTATTTTTTTGTACAACGGTGTCTTGGGAAATACCTATCTCCACATTTGTAACAGACTATTGATTTTCTAGGTTCTGCTCTTTTTTTACGCTCCTGGGGAGTCTATCATTATATTGATCTTTTTATGATAATGGAGCATTGTTGTTGGGAAGATAGGGATTTAGATACAACTCTATTACTGTTTGTTCTTGTAGTAAGATTTATTCGAATGCTTGATTAAGCGTTTGTGTCTTGAAGAGTCTTATTTTGGGCGTAACTGCGGTCTGAGGCCACTAGTAAAGATAGATATGAAAATTTTTTCTGAAAGTGTTGAGTTATTTGCATCCATAAGAGAATGTAAATATTCAAATTATTCTACATGCTTAAAAACAGTACCTGATTGGTGAACTTCTCACTGAAATCTTTCCGTAACGGTCCTCCGAATCACTTGTAGAGTTCTTCTACAAAATATTCCTAATTCATTGTATCAACTTTGGCTACCCACAGCAGTACTATATATCGGCGACTTCTCCTAAATATACCGATGCCATATCCACTTTCTGCTCATCAAAAGTGTTGTGCATTATAAAATATTTTTCACATCTTCAAACCTATCCACGGGAGGTTTGCCCTTTCAAAAAGAGGAATTTTCACATTAGAAAATTCGAAACTATGGGCAAAACGGGTACAATTCATTGTTGTGGGCGATCCAATGCATTCTAGAGGCTCCACTGGGTTGCTCCGGTTCAGCTAAGTCGGACCCAGTCGGGTCGGACCAGTTCGATTTGGTCTGTTTTTTTCTTAGTAGAACTGGGTATAGAGGAAA